CTGAAAAAACCACAACAACCAATCCTCTTAACATTTGCCATTTAGGTACTTTTTTGTCACAGTCAATGCATTATGTACTGGAGCATACAATGCCCCATGCCTATTTTTGTCAAACCCATGAGACACAAAGAAGCAGAAATGATATATTCTGATTGTCAGTGGTTGGCCTTATTCAAGGGGAATCAACATTTCTGCCTCTTGGGGAGATAATGGTATTCATCTGGGTCAAAGAAATTCTCTAGAACACATGAAACTGCACACTTGTCTTTCCTTTTATTTATTCTACATTTTCTGTTCTGGGTGGAACACACTTGATGGTGTCCACACAAAAAGTCATTTAGACACCTGTATGTAATTTTTGTATTCTACAAAGACCGGGGTTCTTATTGCCCCCAAGAAAGCATTTTTTTAACTTAGTGCATGAGGACCAATAAACCAGTCTCAATTTTTTAAAAATGTGAATCAACTGACGACACACCTGAAAAGAACTTTAGTGTATTTTATTTACAAACCTAGAAAAGTACTGGGTCCTTCATGAGCATAAATATGTGCATGTCTATACATATGGATCAACATATTTGTAAAACTCAATCACATCCCTTTGTTTTGACATAAAAACACTCCATATTCTGAAAGATATATGGAGAAATCCCAGGGGCCTACTTTCATAATCAACAGGATGTTCACATTTAAAGAACAACTATATCTAAAGATGCATGAAATGGGAGCACTTTTAATACCCTAACAGATTAACTGGTACAGAGGTAAGCTATTTAAAGGTATGGAGGGCTTAATTTTAAAAAATACGGAAAAATCCCTGAGGTGGTACAACTGTGGCTTATGCTTTTGAAATATTTCTATTACTACTACCATGCCCAAAAGCATAAAAAATAAAAAAAATTTAAAATCACAGAACAAAGAGCTCAAAAGCCCAATTAAAAGCTTGGGGGACTATCTCAAATTTAGTTCTGAGGCATTGCTACACCTGACCTATATGTGATGAAGTTAAGTTTTATCAGAAGAAGGCAAATAATAAAGTAAGAGCAAATTGTTCTCCCAACCTGCTATTCCCAGTGTTATACACGGTAACCTTGGTTCTTCATGTTTTGTATATCATTCTAATTCTAATTGAAGCTGATGCGGAAACTTCAGGTGGTGCAGAATGCGGCGGCCAGACTCCTTACTGGAGTGAGAAAATACCAACGTATCTCTCCTACTCTGGCCATGCTGCACTGGCTGCCCATCTGTTTCCACATCGACTTCAAAGTGTTAATGCTTACATATAAGGCCCTAAATGGTTTAGGACCCCGATACTTGGCGGAACGCCTGCTCCCACCTAGATCTACTCGGATCACCCGCATGAGCCAGGAGGTGAGGCTGAGGAGCCTAACACCGAGGGAGGCCCGGAAGGAAAGGACACGAAACCGGGCCTTCTCAGTGGTGGCTCCTCGTCTCTGGAATAACCTTCCTCCAGTGATTCATGCGGCTCCTACGCTGGGCACTTTTAAGAGTCAACTAAAAACATGGTTGTATGTTCAGGCCTTTCCTCCTGTCAATATTTAATTCTTTATTTATTTTTTCTTTCATTTAATATTTGTTTTATTATTGTATGTGTTATGGACTGTTTGTAAAATCCTTATGTTTTATCGTATACACCTTATTGGAAGCCGCCCAGAGTGGTTGACCAGACCAGATGGGCAGGATATAAATCAAATAAATAAATAAAAATAAAAATAATTAATGGAATTTATTCAAGCACTGTGAACATAGCTACTATGCTTTCCCATCACACAATGACACGGCAACAGGCATCACACCAGAGAAACTGAACAGTTTCAAACCCATAAACACATTAAGGCAGAGACTCATCCACCCAAAAGATCGGATACCAAAACACGAGGCACATAGTATATGTGGCCCAATGCAAAGAGAAGTGTTCGGAGATCTGCACTGAAGAAAACAAATAGCCACTAAACAGGATAATTGCCCAGAACAGGAGGGGCAATGGCCTAGGACCACAATCAGCAGTGTTCCTTCATTTTAAGGACAAAGGACACTCATTTGATGACCAAGATGTACTCATTTTGGACCCAGAAGGTAGGTGGTTTGAGAGAGGGGTCGGGGGGGGGCATACATGTGCATATAGAAAATTCCTCACTCAACAGGGGTGGAGGCCTTAGATACAATCTGTCTCCTATTTATCATGCTTCTCATTCATCAGTCCCCAGAAAGATCAGGACCACACACCAGAAAGACCATTAACAACCAATGACAATGGGTGGAGAAGGACTGGAGAGGTAGGATTTTCACTCACCCCCAGTCCTTTGTCCTTCTAATGAGCCTGCCTATTCAGACCATGGGGAAGTGAAACCAATGTGGAGGATATATCAGGGGTTTCCTACTAACTTTCCTCAGACTGAAGAAGCTAGTTGGATGACTAGCGAAACATTTCAACCTAATAAGAAGTCCATTTGCCATGACTCAACTTCCACATGTATAAATTGTCAAATGAACAGGCTGTTATAAAGCTCTAGCTAGACTACAATCACTACATCTGTTTCTTCAAATTTAAGCAGATTCCCCCAATCATTGGCCTTCAACTCTCTGTGTAGAACCAATAACCTGTGGAGACAATAGGGAGCCCTATACAGAAAACAAAAAATGAATGCTAACGGTATAATGCAACTTCTCCAGAGCATGGGGAGCAGGGGGACAGCTTTTATTTATACTATCTATTAACAGAGTATTTAATGAAAAGGACAATTGCTCTCTGATGCTGCAAGGAGGAGTTATTAATTCCAGGAGAAGAGCAAATAATATAAGAGCATGTCCTTTTTGTTTTACTTTCTCTGTAGCCCTTTTCTCATCAGTGTCTCAGACCTATGAAGAGCTAAAGATAAATTATCCAGTCCACAGTGGACACATCTTAAGAGCAATTCTGAATTCTGGCTGTTACATGATGCAACATCCACCTCACAAGCAATTGTATGAAATGGGAAGCAACTACATTTTTGTTAGAGGCAAACCAATATACAATTCTTTAATAACCTCGACTTTTCTGCATAATTGGATACTAACAACCATAAATCATTAGAAAGATCAAGAGTAAGTAACAGAATATCACAAGCAATTTCTTATTTGTAAAACACTTTCCATGTTGCAAAAGTGCAAAAAGGGAAGAAGCAAAATAAAGTGACATCAAGTGGCCGCTACCTAGCATGGCAGGTATTATTCTCCTAACAAGATCCAATATACAGTGGGGTCTCGACTTACGAACTTAATCCGTATTGGAAGGCAGTTCTCAGGTCGAAAAGTTCTTAAATCGAATCTGCATTTCCCATAGGAATGCATTGAAAGCCATTTAATCCGTATCTGCTCTTTTCGTCCATAGAAACTAATGGGAAGCTGCTATTCCGCCTTCTGCCACTAGAGGGGGATAATTTTTTCTTTTTTACTTTTAACCTAAGATGACTTAGCTTTTAAAAAAAGGGAAAAAAAGAGTTCGTAACTCGAATCTAAGTTCGTAAGTCGAGTCCATATATTCCTATGAGAGCGGTTCGTAAGTCGAAACGTTCGTATGTCGAGCCATTCGTAAGTCGAGACCCCACTGTATGCAGGACAAAAAAGGGTCTCCTTATGTAATGATTGTCCTGAAAAGGACATGAACGCTGCAGTTCTACCCATCTGCCTGGAGGTCAGGCATACTGATTTCAATGGTGCTTATTTGTCTTTATTATCATACCAGCACAAAGTGCCCCTAGCCACACCAACGTAACTCTCTCCCTATGCAGTCACCCCCTTCGTAACTTACACACTTTCTAAATATGAGTTTTTAAAACTTGTAAGACATTTACTAAGTAATTTACCCATGGAGACCGTAAAATTGAAAAAGGAACACTGGGTGGGATGCAGACTTACTGAAATGTACTGCAGATCTACTGGAATCAATGAGATTTTACATAACTCCTGAGTCTTACATACTTACATTTGTTTATTCTAAGCATTGCTAAGTCTGCTCCCAACCCACTACATAATTTACCCATGGAGACCGTAAAATTGAAAAAGGAACACTGGGTGGGATGCAGACGGACTGAAATGTACTGCAGATCTATTGGAATCAATGAGATTTTACATAGAGAGAGAGAGAGAGAGAGAGAGTGTACGGCCTTACTTTCATACTTTCATTGGCCCTTGCAGTACAGAAAAGCAGCAAAAGTAAACACAATACAGAATCGGTGCAAAGCCCGACAACACTCCATTAGACACACAGTTGTTCTTCCTTATTGATGTCTAAAGTAAGGACACATCCTGGCTTATTTTGGGAGGAAGCAGTGAGTGATGGGACATATCAGGACCCATTTTCACGGTAATACTTGTTATCTAATGTGTTTTTATCAGATTATAACCATATGCTTGAAGTCAGCCTCAGTGCACAGAACACAAAATATTTAATGGCTGAAATCCAGGAGTAAACTAATCCCCAAGGATCCAGTGAGAATATTCTAGTGGCACCTTAAGATTTCAGCCAATATGCAGCATGCATTTCTTTTTTTAAAAAAAATCAGTGCTATATTTCAGGACATATACTGTACATGTGAAATTGTATTTGAATTATACTGTACTTATACACTATGCTTCCTAATAAAGCTTGAATCAAAATTTCAGAAAATTAAATATACAAGCTACCACACTTGAACATGTTTAAAAATATGGAAGTACAGACACACACACACACACACATATATACCATAAGCAAACAACAAAGAGTCCCTCTTTTAGGCAGCGGGGGGGGGGCAGTTTCACTATAAGAAAAGTTTGACCTGGTGTCATTGTAGACAATATTCTGTAGAGGTCTAATAAGATGTTCCAGATGTCACTTGATTTTGCTTTCATTTTTGGAGAGAAAGAGAGAGTTGGATGAGAAACAGAACCATTTTGATGGTATTTTATTTTATGATAAAAAAAAGGATGCTGTGAGAGGTCTTGATTAAAAAGGGTTACTTCGCAGGGTGAAAAACATGCCAACGTAGTCTGAAACAACTCACTTTGTTTTCCTGTGTGACAAGTATACTTGCACCCCCTGGTTTCAAAGGCATTTCCTCCATTGCTCCAAATACATCAGTCTCAACAGAGAAAGTCAGTTCTAGCCCCAAGTCACTGATATCATTATCTAGAATCCACTGCAGGTTCTTGCCATACTCTGGATCAATAGATGCCACATCCTGATAGTTTACAGGAATACCTTGAAGAAGATACAGAGAAACAGTCTTCACTCATATTAGTTCAGGACCCACTTTGCCTTGCTCTATTTGTGGTAAACGACTGCCCTCTACAGACACACTGAGACAATGCAGGGTGAAGTGGAGGAACTGGCAGTCCACAAAAAACTGTGACTGGCTAGGAGCCCTTCTGTTGCTTCAAAATTATGTGTGCCTTGCACACCAAAACTGATAAAAGCATGTGTGATGCTGTGGTTAAGACAGGTTTTCATTTCAAATCTTAACTAAACCTTCGACTTAGGTTAGCCTTATTAACATGGGGCTGTCGAGTGTTGCTGCAGTACCTTAAAAAAGAAGGAGAGCTGTATTTAGGCTTTACACTCCCCATAAAAACACTACTCTAATTCTAACGTGTAGTCTCTTATGCTTTCTCTGCAGACATACTACAAAGCAGAATCTTTTTGCTTTTAGAAAACTGTATTCTCACTTATGAGTGGCTGCAACTGGAAGAAATTCAAATAATGCACTGAAAATCATATTTTTAGCTGCCCTGCATGATGTATTATTCCTTATATCCCTAACAGAAAAAAAATTGTAACCATGAATAGAGCCCTACCAAGAATATGCTTGTAGAATGATCTTGTGAAGTAAATGTTGACCAGTTGTCTGTGATTCAGGGCTAAACCCAGGATCTGTCCAGCAAATCTAAAGTAGTTCAAGTGATCAGGATTTACAGAAGAGTTGCTATTTGGCTGGAATGTAGTTCCTGAAACAACAAGGAGTACTAGTTTCACTTACTTATTTTCAAAACTATTTATAACACTAACCCGTGGTTTGTTTTCTGTGATTCAGTATCACATTCAAGATCAAAGGCATCAACAATTCTTATTCCCAACATCAAAAACAGAACGTTAAAAAGGAAACAAAATCCATTTCAGATATGCAATGCTAAAATTAAACTTTTAGGTTCTAAGAAACATTTTAATGTAAAGTGAGAGTTATTGCTAGCACAGAATTCTATTTCTACGTCTTCATGTGTCACAAGAACTAACTACAATGTCAGAGGCACTTATGAGGGGGGAAATCACTGTTCCAACATTCCCTATTGTTTGCTGTACCATTTGCGCCTCTTAAATATTATTAGACACAAAACAAGACAGAAAAAGGAACAAGAGGGCAAGCCCATTTTCTTAATTTATGTTCCTGGTTTGAAACTCCAATGACAGGAACCTTTGGCATCAGAATATTTAAATATTGATGGCTAAAAAGAAATGTTGATGGTCAAGGATCTTTACATAATTTAAATCTTTTTCAGAGTAGAACCAAAATATTAATAACATCGTTTTAGCAAATGAACTGGCTAGCAAATCATACTCAGCAGAGTGGAACCTACATGTCCCAAGTAAACATGCTCAACATTTATCCATAGATGTGAAACATTTCTTATCACTTCCAAAAGGATAATCATCTAAATTTATATAAATGAAAAGGAAAAAAAAACCTCTCTTAACATATATGTAATGGCCTAAGCTTCCATGGGCCTGAGTTCATTTCATCAGAATTCTTCATGAAAAATGATCCCATTTTGGCATGCATATGCATAGATGTAAGGAGAATAAAAATGTTTTGATAGCAAAGTCAGAGGAAAATGAGATGTAAGAAATTCTGACACCAAATAATTGTGAGAAAGCTTTGGTTTTCCCAGCCGTGGGGGGATGACAGTGACAACTCAGAAAGCAGTGTTGATAAACAGTGGGGCTTTGGCAAGCAAAGTCTTTTTTGGACTTTACAAAAACATGTCACCTAGCCCTGCAAGGAGGAACAGAACACTGGCGTACGTGTTTCTCACATTCTCTATATACAGAGGAATATGTTTTTTTCCTTTTGAAACTTCATTGAAAGAAAATGGAAAAAACCAGTAACAACATAATAGCACAGGTACTGTATTTCACTGGTACCTTCACACCACTGAAGTCTGTACCAGATTACAATATTGCACCAAAGGGAGGCAGGTGGGAAACAAGTCTTATCATACTTATTAACATAATTAATAAAAGGAAGCCACATGTTGGAAAAAAAAATACATCTTGGGAATGTGATTTAGTAATCTGATCTGGTGACTTAATTTTTCCTTTAGGGTAATATGCCATATTCTGTTTCTCCATGCATGTAAAGTTAATTTACAAGCTCCCTTTCAGTTTGCGTCAATTTCCAAATGTGCTGCCATACAGAAAAAGACAAACAACTATTTATGAATTAGCTGTTCATTATTGCCTGAAAAGGAGGACAAAAGAGCTAGTGACCTAGACCAGCCTACTTTTTGAACTGGTGAGCCTTATGTGATTTTCCTATATTCTGAATCACCCAGAGAACTTCCACAGAGAAAAAGGTCACTAGTCTTTCCCATGAGGAATGCTACCCACCTCTCATAATACCCAAACAGGACTTCAGTTGCCTGTCACAGAGCAACTAAAAAAAATAAAACTCTCAGTACAAGACATAAAGTAAGAGAATAACAGACTTTAAGGATTTAGAATTCCATAGGATTCTCTTTTTAAAAGCTTTTCTTGATCTGTTGCTTTGTAAATTACATGTAATTTAGGTTCAAATACAGAATCTTTAGAGTAGGAAAATATTTTGGGCATGGAAATCATTTTCTTCTTCCACATTAATTCTTAAGATTATTATAACACAAATGGAGATATCAACATACCATCAGCTGACTGAGTAAAGAGAGCATAGTCTGGATTCACTATTTCATTAGACAGGATATCAAACCACTCACGCACCACACCTTGACCCTAGATGCAAATTAGGAAAGGAAAGAAGGGAGGGAGGGAGGGAGAAAAAGCAGAGCAAGACAAGTTATAATTCCTTCAAGCATATACTCAGTCCTTTCCAAATGACTGTACAACATAATATGGAATGCGATTCCTACAGGGGGAAAAAGTCTCATGAAAACTGAAGTAAATTAATCTAAAGAAGTCAGGTTCACACATTACTTATAAACGGCTGTTCTCAGCTTTGTGTGTTTCTATAGTTCATTAGAGAAGAAACACGATATCAACAGGCACAGCATTTTGACAAAAGTCATATCCAACTGATGTTCACCATTAGTAAAAACAACTGTGAAGTCACCACATACTCTCTCTTAGGCTTTTGGCTCCATCATGGGTTTTACCTCCTAAATGATTTAAGTTATGATCTTATTTGACTTTGCCAATGAACAAAGAGGCCCAGGTAGTTTTTTTGCTTGTTTACAAAGACTTGCTGCAACAGCTTCAAAACAACTGTTCTAAACAGACTATTTTTTCCATGCATTTCATTTTTTAAAAAACTATGTGTCATGTATTATGCAATAGGTAATTACCATGCCTTCTTCACCATGGAAACGTACAGCAATGCCTTGTTTTAGTTTTGCACAGTTTGCCTTTGATACAACTTCACAACTGCTCCTAAAAATAGAATCTGAATAAGAAAACCAATTAATTTCTTAACTTTATCAGCACAGAATAACCATTAGGCAAAGAGGATGGCATAGGTGAAGTTTCATACCTCTGTGAACCAAGAGGATGTCATTTTCATTGACTGGTCTATGAACCATGTCTGAGTCTGGCTGCCCAGAATGCAGGTGCTCATAAAACCATTCACAGCGATCTTTAAAAGGCTAAAAAAAAAGGGGGGGAACATGCATGAGACCAAAGGTGTCATACATATTATTACCCAGAACAGAATCAATAGACAATATGAGAAACAATAATGTGGTGACTGATCGACTAAGACTCAGGAGATATGGGCTTGAATCCCCATTTCTCCATGGAAACTCACCAGAGGGTAGCAATGGCAAAACAGCTCCTTAAATGTCTCACATACCTTCAAAATGCTATGAGGTCACTATAGGTCAGACACACATAGCATGAAAAGACTTCCTAGAGAAAAACTCATATCAGGCCTAAGTATTAAAACACAGACAAATGACCATTTTGTTTTTATTTTATTTTTTAATTCTAAAGTTATGGCCTTCTCTTAAAATGAAGCCAAATGTTCCCTGCTAGAGGAACAAGAATGTATTTAAAGAAGTTTTGAGTGGCATTTTGGTCTACCAGTGATTGTCATGAAGATCATTTTATCACATATATACCGGTACTTATGATTGTAGACACGGCAGTAACCAAGCATGATGCTCAAAGACCTCAGTGTGGACCTGATAAGACAATGGGTTAATAAAAGGTTGATTTCCCTAAATGAAACAGTTCATTCATGTTTTGTACCTTTTCTGGCTGCCCAGAATGCAGGTGCTCATAAAACCATTCACAGCGATCTTTAAAAGGCTAAAAAAAAAGGGGGGGAACATGCATGAGACCAAAGGTGTCATACATATTATTACCCAGAACAGAATCAATAGACAATATGAGAAACAATAATGTGGTGACTGATCGACTAAGACTCAGGAGATATGGGCTTGAATCCCCATTTCTCCATGGAAACTCACCAGAGGGTAGCAATGGTCAAACAGCTCCTTAAATGTCTCACATACCTTGAAAATGCTATGAGGTCACTATAGGTCAGACACACATAGCATGAAAAGACTTCCTAGAGAAAAACTCATATCAGGCCTAAGTATTAAAACACAGACAAATGACCATTTTGTTTTTATTTTATTTTTTAATTCTAAAGTTATGGCCTTCTCTTAAAATGAAGCCAAATGTTCCCTGCTAGAGGAACAAGAATGTATTTAAAGAAGTTTTGAGTGGCATTTTGGTCTACCAGTAATTGTCATGAACATGGACCACATTTTATCACATATATAATGATTATAGACATGGCAGTAACCAAGCATGATGCTCAAAGACATCAGTGTGGACCTGATAAGACAATGGGTTAATAAAAGGTTGATTTCCCTAAATGAAACAGTTCATTCATGTTTTGTACCTTTTTAAACTATGATTCCTCACTGCTTAGTTAATATATGTGTATTAACCTAATAGGTCTTTATAAGTCATCTCTGGACTGAATAAATAAATAAATAAATAAATATTAACCTAATAGTCTTTATAAGTCATCTTTGGACTCTTTAGAAGAACTAAAAACAGAATCTATCAATAGTTTCAAATTTTTAAATCAGATGTTCTAGGAGTCTCACGATCAGGCAAATAATTTGGAAATAAATACAGACCTAGAACAGCTGTGTGTATTTGAGGAACACAGGGTACTAAGGATGTGTAAGCTGAGTCTAGCACAAACAGAGTTTTGTAGATAGGAATCAAGATGTAGGTTCTAATCTCTACTTCATGATAATTTAGATATATAATTTATTTGTACACCCAACTCATATCCAGTGGGTTGGGTATACAAATAAATCTAAATTATGGTGAAAAGTAAAGATGAGGAAGATGTGGCCTTCCAAATGCTGCTGGATTACAATTTACATAATCCCATGGGATTAGTTATGCTTGCGAGAGCTAATGTGTGTTGCAGTCCAACAGCATCTAGAAGATCACACATTTCCCATCTCTGGTGAACAACACCTTTACTAATGTTCCCAAATGATTTAGAATATACAATTTAGAAACCATGTGTGATTCAACCACATATCAGCTTGTAAACTGAACACTCACCTGTGCTTTTATGATGTGCATGAATCTAGACATCAACTCAGGACACTCAAGAAGAAAGTGGAAATGGTCAAATATAATTTTTGGATTTCTACGAAAAGTTTAAAAAAAACAACAGAATCTTAAAACACAAGCCAAATATTTGATTCAGAAGGCATATCATAACAAACTCTGAAGTATATTCTTTTATTTGTCATTCATTGACTGGTCTACCACAATTATTGTTGTCCTGTATACAACAAACTGAAGATGCAAGCAGAAAAATATAGGGTCCAAAATTTCCTAAGAGTAACACCTCACAAATTAAACAGGACTATGCAAATAGAATGAATTGCTTGACTGCATGAAATGTTTCTGACTGGATACAAACAACTGTTCAGATTACAAGTTAATACATTAATTAAAGCTGATTTGCCCAACTTAATGTTAGTATGCATACTACAAATATGACATTCAATGCCGCCATATTGTGAGCTATACTGTAAAAATAGCTGAGAAAGATGAAACATGATTTTATGCATCATGCCATTCATGTTATATTAATTTAAGTATGTCTAAATCTCTAGCGCCCCCCAAAGTGATTTACAATAAAGTCAGATGAAAAGTGCTAGAAGTAACTTCAGTGTTTCAAGAAGTAGGAGAGATTTTAAAGCACAAAAAGAGTGTAGAAATAAGAAGTCAATCAGTAGAAGACAAATGAAACATAAATGCTTTGACTACCTGCTTAAAACTATCAGGGATGGCTTAAGCCACAATATCTATTTTGAAAAGAGAACAGATTTTTTTAAAAAGGGAAAGAGACTGCTAGATGAAAGAAGACTTTGAATTTCAAAACTTAGTCAAAATCTGCTTTGTGAAAGCATACATAAAATCAACTCAAGAGGTCAGGTCAATCCATAATCTGTGCTAACATCATTTGGAAATGAAGCCATAGTTTGAGTTTTTCAAATGACAAGTTTAGACCTGCTTATCTGGTTTAAGTTTTAGTTTTATAATGAGCCTATTCTAGTTGTGACTAGCAGGATTTTAGCCAATGATTCAACTTCAAAAAGGGCAAATTAAGGTACTACAACAACAAACAGCACAACTAAAAGTGTATTCGAAGGTCTGAGGGTAGGGGGGGAAGGTGTTTTCTTGATGCTAAAGAAACATCATCACAAGCACAAAGCAAGGCTCCCTGCTGGGCAAATTCTACAAGTGGGACAAACTTGCAGAGGAGACTCTCGTGTCATTAAATCCTGCTCATCTCAGAGAGATTGAGCCACACCTTTTTTGAATCATTGAAAAACTATAAATGAAATGCGTTTTTGCATTCTACAGAACTTTTCACGGGTAAAGAGTGTATAATCATTATTTAAATCATCTATACCAGATGAAGAGTTCTGGGCAATTTGAAAGCTCATTTTGTTACATTTTGGTGATGGCAGAAAGTGAGGAGGAATTAAAGAACCTTGTAATGAGGGTGAAAGAGGAGAGTGCAAAAAATGGTCTGAAACTCAACATCAAAAAAACTAAGATCATGGCCACTGGTCCCATCACCTCCTGGGAAACAGAAGGGGAAGATATGGAGGCAGTGTCAGATTTTACCGTATTTTTCGCTCCATAAGACGCACCTCTCCATAAGACGCACCAAATTTTTAGGAGAAGAAAACAGGAAAAAAATATGTTTTCTTCTCCTAAAAATTGGTGAGCCTTATGGAGAGGTCTGTCCTATGGAACACAACCTAGGACCCTTTGGAGGCTCACCCAGACCCCCTGAAGGCCAGAGGGGGCAAAATCACCACATTCTGGGGCTCTTTTGAGGTTTGGAAAGCTTCAGAAGAGCCCCAGAAGGTGGCAATTTCGCCCCCTCTAGCCTGGTGGGGGGGCAGGGTGAGCCTCCAAAGGGTCCTAGAGTGTGTTCCAGGACCCTTTAGAGACTCACCCTGCCCCCCCCGGGGGTCAGAGGGGGCAAAATCACCACCTTCTGGGCTCTTTTAAGGCTTGGGAAGCTTCAAAAGAGCCCCAGAAGGTGGCGATTTTGCCCCCCTGGACCTGTGGGGGGGTGGGGGTAGTGTGGCAAGGGTCCGAGGGGGCCTTCCAGACCCTTGCCACGCTACCCCCCCCACGGGGCCAGCATGGGCAAAATAGCGACCTTCCAGGACCTTTTGAGAAGCTTTCCAGCCTCTCAAAAGGTCCTGGGAGCTCCCTTGGACCCTTGCCAGGCTACCCC